AAATCAATTATACTTTTCAAAAAACTTTTTTTAGTAGTTGCCCTATATTTAGCAATATACATTTACCAAGTCCACTGTCAAATAACACGTTACCACTTCACAGGTAATGTAAGTAACCTATAATAAAATATTTTTATTTCTTCCCTCCCATTCCTTAAATCATTATTTTCACTAATTTCCCTTATGTATAAGCATATATTTATATACAAGCATGTCATTGAATACATTGTTGCTATTATTATACAGAACAAACTGTTACCTGTTAAATAAATTAAATATTTTTTAAAAATTAATTATACCTTCATTTATTCTTTTCCCAATGCTTTCTTTCTTTATGGAAATATGAGTTTCTGACATATATCATTTTCTTTCTCTGTAAAAAAAAACAAAAACAAAAACTTCTTTTACCAACAAGGCAGGTCTACTGACAACAAATTCTCTCAACTTTTTTTTTTTGTGTGTGTGTGTGTGTGTGTGTGTGTGTGTGTGTGTGTCTAAGAAAGTCTTTACTTCTTCACTTTTTAAAATCTTTGATTTTAATTTAAAAATTCGCTTAATGACAAATACAATTTAATGTCTATATGTAATACCATGTGTGCATCTATATGTTTTACCTTGGTTTTGTATCAAAGTTTTTACTTTTTTCCCAAGAGAAGAATTACCATCTGTTAGTGACATATTGCAATTAGACTATGAAATGATTCTCAATTTTTTTTTTATTTTGAAGATACTTTTATTTTTAAGGAGGAATTACTTTCTCTTCAGATGTTCATTTTTGACTCTGAAAATTTTAATTTTTTTTTTTTTTGGTCTAGACTGATTTGAAACAGCGACATTATTTTGTATACTAGGATGTTCTCTTCTTTAGACAGATTTATAGTACTAATTAGAAAGCTGCAAACACCCTTATATCAACTCAGAGATAGTTTAGATTCTTAAAACATAAGGAGAGATAACTTGTTGAAAACATTTTTATAACTTTAGTTAAAAACAGTATAAAAGACATAAAACATTTTTTTTTTTTTTTGGAGACAGAGTTTCACTTTGTCACCTAGGCTGGAGTGCAGTGGCATGATCATAGCTCACTGCAGCCTTGAAGTCAGGCTCAACGGATTCGCCTGCCTTAGCCTCCTATGTAGCTGACACTGTAGGTGCATGCCACCATTCCTGGCTAATTTTTATAGCAAAGGCATCTTGCTTTGTTGCCCAGGCCAGTCTCAAATTTCTGGGCTCAAGCAGACCTCCCACCTTTGGCCTCCCAAAGTGCTGGAATTATGGGATTGAGCTGCTACTCCTGGCCATGAAACACACTAAAAAAAATTTAAGTCCACATGAAACAATTGTACTTCCTTCATAGTACAAGACCAACTTCCTCATCATTCTTGCACAAAAATATTTCTCGATTCAATTTACTGATATTCAAGGATTTGACTCCTCATATAGTGTTTCTGCAAAAATGTATGTTTATTTATTTATTTATTTTGAGACAGAGTCTTACTCCAGCCCAGGCTGGAGTGCAATGGGGTGATTTTGGCTCACCACGACTTCCACCTCCCAGGTTCAAGTGATTCTCCTGCCTCAGCCTCCCAAGTAGCTGGGATTACAAGTGTCTGCACCCACACCTGGCTAATTTTGTATTTTTAGTAGAGATAGGGTTTCTCCATGTTGGTCAGGCTGGTCTTGAACTCCTGACCTCAGGTGATTCGCCCACCTCAGCCTCCCAACGTGCTGGGATTACAGGCATGAGTCCCTGCACTCAGCCGTGTGTTTTAAATTAAAGCATAAATCAGCAGTATTGTTTGAATAACCCCCAAATAATGTTTACATGAAATACCCTTTTTCAAGTCTTGATCTGATAACTGACCACTACATCCTTGTAGTATCAAAACGCTTAGAACAAAAGTAGCTTTACCGTTGAGTCAGAAGGAAAGTGTATGGCAAGAAGTAGTTCCAGTCTGAAAAAAGCAGGTCAAGATCCATTCACCAAAGTTAGCTACTTTGTGTTTAGCAACTAATCAATGAGGTGTGCACATCCACTTGGTGTCTGGCATCTAATCAGTGAGGAGTGGACTCCTTCACTTGTGAAGGGTAGTTTTACAGGATACAGAATTCTAGGTTTGTGGGCTTAAAAAAAATTATCAACACTTTATTCTGCTCTCTTCTTCCTTTCATGGTTTCTGAGGAGAATTCAATGTAATTTGTAATTTTTTTTTTTTTTTTTTTTGAGACAGAGTCTCACCCTGCTGCCCAGGCTGGAGTACAGTGGTGTGATCTTGGCTCACTGCAACCTCAGCCTCCCGGGTTCAAGCGATTCCCCTGTCTCGTAATTCTTATCTTAGCTCCTCTATACGTAATGTCCCCCCCTCCCCTCAGCTTCTTTCATGATTTTTAAAAAATATTTTCTTTTCCAAAGTTTAAATATGATATGTCTAGGTGTGGTTTCTTGAGAATTTATCCTATTTGGAGTTGTCTGAGCTTCCAGGATGTGTGATTTGTTGTCAGACGTGAACTTGGAGGAAATTAATCATAAGCATTCTTCATTTCTGTTAGTGTTTTTTATCTCTAGCATTTCTTTTTGAGTCTTTCTTAGAATTTCTATCTCTGCTTATATTTTCCATCTGCTCCTGCATATTGTCTACTTCTTCCATTACCTTCAATAGCACATTCAACTTAGTTTTTTTTTTTTTTTTAAAGTCCTTGTCTGATAATTCCAACATTCCTGCTATCAATGACTCTAGTTCTCCTGCTTGTTCAGTCTCTTCCATTTTCTGCCTTTTAGTAAGCCTTATAACTTTTTGTTGAAATCTGGATGCTATGGTTTGAATGTCCCCTCCAAAGCTCATGTTGAAACTTAATCACCAATGTGGCAATACTGAAAGGTGGGGCTTTTAAGAGGCAAATGGATCCTGCGTGCCCGGTTTCATGAATGGATTAATTCATTCATGGATTCACGGATTAATGAGTTAATGAATTATTTAGGGGTTATTCAAACAATACTGCTAATTTATGCTTTAATTTAAAACACACAGCTGGGCATGGTGGCTCACGCCTGTAATCCCAGAACTTTCAGAGACCAAGGCAGGCGAATCACCTGAGGTCAGGAGTTCAAGACCAGCCTGACCAACATGGAGAAACCTCATCTCTACTAAAAATACAAAATATCATGGGACTGAAATTGGTGGCTTTATAAGGAGACCTTAGCTAGAACATTAGCACACTCAGCCTCCTTAACGTGATATCCTGTGCTGCCTCAGGACTCTTCAGAGTCCCCACCAGCAAGAAGGATCTCACTAGATGCACTCCCTTGACCTTGGACTTCTCAGCCTCCATAACTATAAGAAATGAGTTCCTTTTCTTGATAAATTACTCAGTTTTATGTATTCTGTCATAAGCAATAGAGAACAACTAAGACACCAGACAGGATGTACTGGATAAAAGGAATACTGGTAAGTAGGCTTTTAGCAGTGTGTGGTAAAGGTGAAGGATAGGGCAAGTGTTCTATAGTCCTATGATTAGGCCTTAGCCTTTAGTAAGCCTGTGTTCTTGGATGGTGAACATCACCAGTACTTCCTTTTTATTTCTTTGAGATGGAGTCTAGCTGTCACCCAGACTGAAGTGCAGTGGCACAATCCTGGCTCACTGCAACCTCTGCCTTCCAGGTTCAAGCGAATCTATGCCTCAGCCACCAGAGTAGCTGGGATTACAGGCATGTGCCACCACACCAGGCTAATTTTTGTATTTTTAGTAGAGATGGGGGTTTCACCATGTTGGCCAGGCTGGTCTCGAACTCCTGACTTCAAGTGATCCGTTCACCTTGACTTCCCAAAGTGCTGGGATTACAGGTGTGAGCCACTGAGCCTGGCCACTGTTTCTTAATCTTCCATACTTAAGTGGAACAGTATAGTTTATAGAGGCTGGAGTTGGGTATTTCCCTTTTCCCAGGTAGTTTAGGCTCTGATAAAACCCCAGCAGACTAGGCTTTGGTAAAATACTTTCTCCTGAGGGCAGTTCTTGTTAAGAACTGATTGCTCTGGCATATTTTTAAATGGTTACCTTCTCAGCAGAGGAATCTTTCAGTAAACATTTAAGGAATTAACCTAACTGTCACAGGCATTTGAACCAGAGCAACTCCATTCTGAGTGAGGGCTAGGAAAATGAGGCTGAGACTTGCTGGGCTGCATTCTCAGAAAGGTAGGCATTCCTAGCCTCTAGATGTTTATGGTTAAGGGAACAAATTAATAATGTTTACTAAAACAGACCCAGACCTGGGGATGCCCAGATATCCCCATATCTGGAGAACAAAGGCATTCATAACTTTGCTTTAAAGATAATATTGATTCTTGCAAAATAATTAAGAAAATTAATCCTTTACCACAAACCCTGGTAGCAGAGCACACCTCCCCATATATACAACCACCGTACCTAGGGCGGATGCATTCCTCCTTTACTTTCAGTAATGTCCTGTTCTGTCTATGGAGTAGCTTTCCTTTCACCACCACTTCACTTTCTTAATAAACTTGGTTTTACTCTGCACTGAAAACTTGCCCTGAATTCTTTCTTGTGCGCGATCCAAGAACCCTCTCTTGGGGTCTGAATCCGGACCCCTGTCCTGTAACATAACGGAAAACCCCAGTGCAAACGCACAGCACCCTACTTAAGATTGCAAACATCCATCATTAGTTATTTCAAATCATTAACTTTCTCTAAGCCGATCGGATTCCTACCTGATGTCGAAAAGAAAGGCAAAAGATAGACTGTTTCAACACTTTCAGACGCTTGGGCAAAAGAAAGCATTTTCATGCAATAAATAAAGCAGCACAAATACCATACGACAGGGCATTCATTATACTTGCGGAGAAGCTGCCAGGTCCAAACTCTAAAGGAAAAAACTATTGGAGCTCATTTTTCCTGCCCACGTTAGCTAGCACATTTTGTTGAAATTGAAGGGGAAAAAAAGATTTTGGTGAAACTGAACTCTACCTTGAAATAAACTACTGTACCTCTTATACCTCATTCCTTCTATCCCAGAAACCCGGTAGAAAAAAAGATACACCTGAGACCGTCAAATCCCTCTTCGCGTAGACTGTGTAGGAGTATTTCGCCCATAAGTCAATTTCAGCCCGCCTCCTTTAAGCCAACATTCTGCGTCTTTTCTCCCCTCAGCTTCTCCGCGCACCCTTTTGCCACCACTGATTTGTTAGTTATCGCGGTCCAAAACACTCACGCGCCTTTGAGGGCTCACAAGCCCGCCTCCCTCGGAAGAATCTCAGGGTCTCATCCAATCAGAGCCAGTCAGGAAGCCGAGGTTCAGCCAGGCCTCGCGAAGCCCAACTTCCCGGGGCTTAGAGTCTCTGGTGTCACGTGATTCCACTTTCCGCCTCGCGGCCACCTCTCAGAGGGCGGTGCTCTTGGCCCGGCCCCGCGAGGCACTGCCTTTCAGTTGGCGCTCGCTGATTGGTCGCTGCTCGCGCGGTCTCCTGGGTGACGGGAACGCGGTAGCCTGCTCGATGAAGACCCGGTGCGCCTGCGTACTTCATAGTTCGCGTAGCGGCTCGAGCCTGGAGATGAAGGTAAATAACTTACAAATCCCTGGGGGACGGGGAGCGGGAAAACACGACCACTGTCCCTTGGTCGCTTTTAAAAGAGGATCTCTGTCCTTCTACCTCCTCCCGAATTTGTTGGAAACGGGGAAGAGAGCGAAGCGACCAGAGAGGGCGGGGGTGAAGTTGAAGGGACGAGGGAAAGGGAAGAAAATAGGAGGAAAGGAAAGGGCGGAGAGAGAGGCCTCTCATTTTTGGGACTGCAGACGCCGTAGAAGCGGTGCAGAAAGTGGAAACCCCTCCCTAGCCGAAATGAGCGGACTGTATCTAAAGATACGCGGAAAGAACGGGTCGACTGAACGCGTTTGCAGGGTCGTGGCGAAGTTGGCTGGATCCGGTGTCACGAGCTACCTCATTTCTTGGGGCTAAACCCCTGGCAAACCGCGCAGCTGCCCAGCGCCCTATAAAGAATGAAAAGCCTTCCAAAGTCCAATCACCTGCTAGCGAGTATACATTATTGACGGGAAATCTGCACCAGCACACGGAGGTCTCACTCTCATGTGCCTCATCCTCTGCACGCACGTTTTCTAGGCTTGGGCTTCTTGTCCACCCCACTTTGTGACTTATCACAGCAGTCCTCCCATGCTCTGCTCTGGCAAAGAAATGGAAGTCTCAATTTTAAAATTATTTTGGACGTCCTCAGGCCGGGCGCGGTGGCTCACGCCTGTAATCTCAGCGCTTTGGGAGGCTGAGGTGAGCGGATCACGAGGATCACAAGATCGAGACCATCCTGACCAACATGGTGAAACCCCGTCTCTGTTAAAAATACAAAAATTAGCTGGGCGTGGTGGTGCGTGTCTGTAGTCCCAGCTACTCGGGAGGCTGAGGCAGGAGAATAACTTGAACCTGGAAGCCAGAGGTTGCAGTGAGCTGAGATCGCCCCACTGCACTCCAGCTTGGGCGACAGAGCGATACTCCATCTTAAAAATAAAAATAAAAAAATAAAATTATTTTAGACGTTCTCATGCTTCTTCGTGACTATTAGTGTGGAAATTGGAATTGATGGACCAGTAATCATAACTCCCATTTCTATTTCTAAAGCTCTTCACAATTTATGATACTAGAAGTGAAGAGATATTATGTGTGATTTACAGTTGAAAATTTTTTGCTGGAGGCAATTTAAGCAACTGACTTAAAGCCCTACAGCTAATAAGCAACAAACAAAATTTAAATCTTGGTTTTTTGGTTATGAAACTAGCACTATTTTCTCTGCACATTATGTGGAGCATTTGTAGAAATCCACTGAAGAAAAATAATATGAGATCACAGCTAGAGGCAAGTCTGCCATTGAAGGTAATGAAATCCAAGTTTAAGGACTTCTCACTTGTATGAAGAAGGGGTTCCAGGGGGAAGTGGTCACAAAACTGTAAAAGTAAGATGCTTTTTTTGTAGAGACCAACTTTTACCATGTTGATTGGGCTGGTCTCGAACTCCTGACGTCATGATCCACCCGCCTTAGCCTCCCAAAGTGCTGGTACAGGCGTGAGCCACCGTACCCAGCCAAGTATTCTTTCTTCATGAGTTTCTTTATGCTCTACAAAACTTGAATACCCCGTGATCACAGTCCACCTCTACTTTCAATAGAGGTGAATTTCTTCTTTACCGTGTAAAATGCTCATTGGGAGAGGGCGCAGTGGCTTACGCCTGTAATACCAGCACTTTGGGATGCCAAGGCAGGTAGATCACTTGAGGGCAGGAGTTCAAGACCAACTTGAGCAACATGGTGAAAACCCTTCTCTACTAAAAATATTTAAAATTTGGCCGGGCGTGGTGGCACATGTCTGTAATCCCAGCTACTCAGAGGCTGAGGAAGGAGACTCGCTTAAACCGGGGAGGTAGAGGTTGCAGTGAGCCAAGATCGTGCCACTACACTCCAGAGCCTGGGCAATAGAACAAAACTGTGTCAAAAAACAAAACAAACAAAAAAAACCCACAAAACACTGATTTGTATTTGTTTTAAGACGGAGTCTCACATTTATTTATTTATTTAGTTAGTTAGTTAGTTAGTTAGTTAGTTAGAGATGGAGTCTCGCTGTGTCGCCCAGGCTGGAGTGCAGTGGCTCGGCTCATTGCAAACTCCGCCTCCTGGGTTCAAGGAATGCTTATGCCTCAGCCTCCCGAGTAGCTGGTATTACAGGCACGCCCCACCATACCCAGCCAATTTTTTTGCATTTTTGGTCGAGACGAGGTTTTGCCATGTTGGCCAGGCTGTATTTAATTTTGAGCATTAGAAGAGTTTTGTGTTGCCGCACAGACTAAGTCTCATGTAATAGTATCTAAACTTATATGCCTAGATATGCGCATTGTTGCTTAATCTATAATTTAATCTAATACCAAAATCTAAATTTTTTCACCCAAACTCATATTCCTAAATGTTCTAGATCAACACTGTGTACTATAAATGTAGTGAGCCAATGTAATTTCGTATTTTTAGTGGCCATTAAAATTTTTTAAAGAAAACAGGTAAAATTCATTTTAATAATATTTTATCTTACCCAGTGTATCAAAAATGTTATTTCAACATGTAATCAACATAAAAATTATCAATGAGATAGTTTACATTCTCTTTTCGGTCTTGAAATCTGATACATGTTTTTGATTTATAGTATAGCTAAGTTTGAATTACTTATGAGTAAAGTTTGGATTACTTGTATTTATAGCCTCCATATTGGAGATCACGTTTCTAGATTGTTTCGATGAACAGAAAGAGTTTGATACGGTAACACTGTTCCCCCAGTAGCCAGGTTAAACACTTAATGATGATGTAAATATAACTAATGAAACTAATAGAAGAAAATAGTGTTGAAAGGAGTAAGATATTTTGTATTTTTATAATGTTTAAGACAGGAATTTTTGTCTGGTTTAATCACCAGGAATCCATGCCACAGATAATTAACTAAATTCAGGCTTCAATTATTTTAATCTTTAACGTCTACGAAACACTAAAATTACACATTTTTACAAAATTAACATTCAGAAACATTAAAAACCCAAAAAATTTTACAATAAAGGCTCTCCTGTATCTTGAGGTCTATAATTTACCTAGTAATTGTGTATGTTTGGCTGCTTGGTTGATTTTGTTTTGTTTGTTTCATTGTTAACTTCTGATTAAGCTCTAACATAATCCTCACCATCCTGAATCCTATTGTTTTTATGATCATGTTTTGATATCTTTTCTGATCAACACTTGATTGTGTGTTTTGAAAATACTAAAAATTGTGTTTATTTTTCAGCGTGTTTTCTCACTGCTAGAAAAGACTTGGCTTGGTGCACCAATACAGTTTGCCTGGCAAAAAACATCAGGAAACTACCTTGCAGTAACAGGGTAAGAAACCAATGAATGTTTTAAACAATGGTTGTATGACCATGTAACAACACCATCTACTCAGTAAAAGTTACTTTTTTTTTTTTTAAGACGGAAGCTTTGTTGCCCAATCTCAGTTTACTGCAACCTCCACCTCCCAGATTCAAGTGAACCTGGCCTCAGTAAAAGTTTTTGTTTAACAGTTGTGTGGTAGGAAAAGGAATATATTCATCTCCATTAACATCAAAGCTCATAGAACCTTTTCTCTGGTAGTAACTTTTTAGATACAAATTATGAAACTACCAGGAGAAAACACTGAAATCACTTGGATGGCACCTTTATATCCAGAGATAAATGAAAGAAACATTTAGACTCACTCCTGTAATTCCAGCACTTTGGGAGGCCAAGGCAGGCGGATCAGTTAAGGCCAGGAGTTTGAGACCAGCCTGGCCAACATGGTGAAACCCTATCTCTACAAAGATACAAAAATTAGCCAGGTGTGGTAGCAGGTGCCTGTAATCCCAGCTACTTGGGAGGCTGATGCAGGATAATTGCTTGAACCTGGGAGGCAGAAGTTGCTGTGAGCTGAGATGGCACCACTGCAGCCTGGGTGACAGAGGGAGACTCCATTCCCCAAAATAAAAAAATTTTAAAACATATCTTTATGTTCCAATTGCTTTCAGAGCTGATCATATTGTGAAAATCTTTGATCGCCATGGTCAAAAAAGAAGTGAAATTAATTTACCTGGGTAAGTACAGAAGTAGATTAAAAAACCTGTCAAGCTTTGTTGCCTAAAAGATTAAAAAAATACTGCCTTAAAATTATAATCAAATAGAATCTTTTGCTTTTTCCGTTTGCAAAGGGATTTTTTAGCCATAAGTAGTTCTGAAATATATAGAGATATAGTTTATTAATTAAAGTTTCTATCTATAAACACCCATTTATTTATTCTATAAATAGTCACAGGGAAGCCTTAAGGCAAGATTTTAAGTCAGACCACGTGAAAGCATTGAATCCACATGAAGGAATTCTTTTAAATTATAAACAAATCTTAGTGTATGTATACACAGTGTATGTATCTTAGTGTATGTATCTCTATCTACTTTAGCTTTTCACAGTGTATGAATCTTAGTGTATGTATCTATATCTACTTTAGTTTTTCATCTCTAATAAATTGTTGGAAAACCCTTACTTTTTGCGTAACTTTGTAAAGGGTAAAGATTTTATCCTTTTTCAGGAAATCATTCTAGATTATACTAAGCATAATTGAAGCATTTTTAATGATTCAGTGTAATAAGTACCTATTTTAGTTTTTCTACTGATAGTCTCAGTGGTTATTAAGATGGATAGAGTTCCTCACC